CCCGGCCCCATCCTCCTCCCTTTCTTTCTCTTTCTTCCTTCCTTTCCCGGATCCGCTCGGCGGCCTTGAAGGGTGGGTGGAGCTCCTCCACGTTGCAGCAGGTGCGGCGCCCGCTCCCTGTGTCTGATGCACAACAAACACGCGCGGGCACACCAGCCTCCCCGGTTCCCCTACAGAAGGCCGCGAAGGCAAGCGAAGGAAGCCCTCTCCTACTCCAAGCTCTCCATCTGAGCCCACCCTCAGCCAGTTGGAAGCGTCAGTCAGTGGTCTGCAATAGGAAAATGCAAGCGGCCAAAAAAGTTGAGGTGCCAAACTGCAACTGCAGGCGGTCAGAAGAATTATTGAAAACGGACAGGGTGGATTTTGAAGTATTACAGATTTATCTATATTTCGAATACATGGTATCAGATTCCACCCTAAGGCCCTTTCCACACAGCTGAATAAAATCGCACATTATCTGTTTTGAACTGGAATATATAGCAGTGTGGACTCAGATAGCTTAGTTCAAAGCAGATATTCTGGAAGTCACTGCTTTGATATTCTGGGGTTCACTGCTTTGATAATAATGAGACGTTGAGGACTTGTGTTTTATTGTGTTTATTCTATCTATTGTTTTTATATGGTTTATATTATATGTTAATGTTTTAATTATATTTTATGTTGTTGGGGGCATTGGATTTTGCCAATTGTAAACCGCCCTGAGTCGCCTCTGGGCTGAGAAAGGCGGTATATAAATATGGTAAATAAATAAATCTATATAAATAAAAATGTAATGTTCATTTGTGGGATTACCATAACTCAAAAACCACTGGGCGAATTGACACCAAATTTGGACACAATATACCTATCAGGCCAATGAGTGACCATCACTCAAAAAATTGATTTTGTCATTTTGGAGTTGTAGTTTCTGGGATTTATAGTCAACCTACAATCAAACAGTATTCTGAACAATGATAGAATTGAACCAAACCTGGCACACAAAACTCCCATGACCAACAGAAAACATTAGAAGGGTTTGGTGGGCATTGACCTTGAGTTTGGGAGTTGTACCCGCCATGCATTGTTGTGGCCAACCTTCCCTCTCTCTTTCTCTTTCACCTTCCTTCCTTCTCTTCCTCTTTCTTTTGTTCCCTTTTTTCCTTTTCTTCTCTTTCCTTCCTCCCTACCCCCTTTTCTTTTCTTTTCCTTCTTTCTCTCCTCCCTCCCCTCCCTCCCTCTTTGCTTCCCTCCCTCCCTTTCCTGTTTCTTTCCCGCCCTCTTTCTTTCTCTCCTTTCTTCTCTCCCTCTTCCCTTCCTTCCCTTCTCTACCTCTTGCCTGGGCACTGGCAGGAAGAGAGCTTCGCAGCCCTCAGCCTTGCAGGGCCAGGCGCGGAGCAGGTGGGAGGTGCTTTTTTTGAGGCATGCCTCGCTCACCCAGCACCGCCCCTTCTTTTTTCTGCCATGGCTGCAGGGCGCCTTCCTGCCTKTTTGCTGATTGGGCATGCAGGCAGGGCCACATGAAAGGCATCCTGCAACAGAAGAAATGGGCCAGGGCTGGGTGAGCAAGGCCCACCTCAAAAAATGCCTCCCACCCCTGCCAGGCCCAGCAAGGCTGAGGGCTGCAAAGCTCCCTTCACGTTGGTGCCTAGGCAAGAGAAGGTGAAGTCTGACAAACGGCGCCTGCATGGAGCAGCCACCCACCCGCCTCACTGGGGAAAAAGAAGGAGGGGTCCCTGTTTGGTGGGGCCAACAGAGGACAGAGACTGGGAGGGAGGTAAGGAGGGCCCACGCAAGGCCCCAGCGTGGCGGAAGAGGGTAGGCCCAAAAGCATGGCTCACTGCTGTGGGATCCTGGGATCCATAGTTTGACGGGACATCAGTCCTCCTCGGCAGAGATGGCTTCAACAAAGCCGCATGAAAGTACAGCTCCCAGGATCCCATCGCATTGAGTTAAAAGTGGGGCCAAACTGCATCCTTTCTACTGTGTGCCTGAGCCACAGCCTGAATCCATGGCTAAGCTTCACTTGGTACCAGCAGGGATTGCCAGCTTGCAACGGATAGTTGGTTTATTGTTTTTCCTTCACGTGGGGAGGGGACATTCACGCATGCGCTGTTATGTATTCTTGGTTTTGGGGGGGGGGGTTTAAAGTTGTTGTTTTTTTTATTTTTTGAGTGAAGGACATAGATTGCTTTGGTTGGTGTCTTGTGTCCAAATTTGGGGTCAATTTGCCCAGCGGTTTTTGAGTTCTGTTAATCCCACAAATGAACATTACATTTTATTTATATAGATTGTGAATGCCTTTATTCCCCCCAACCACCCACCCAAACTACACACTAGGAAGGCAATTGAAATTCTGTTACAAAACTTTTCTTTTAAAATGCATAAACCATGAAGCATAAAACATGAGCCACTAAAAGACTCACTGCCACCAACAGGGAATACCAATCAGATATGCTCTAATTATTATTATTTTTAGGTTTTGCTCCATTTCACAAAACACAATCCTCCTGATACAAACCTTAAATTATATGCGTTTGGAGCTATCCAGATGTTTTTGAGGTGAAGAAAAAACCCAGTGTTTTTCAAAAGAGCTCCTCTTGTTAGTTTGGTCTACTCTGCCAACAATTTATTCAATCAATTGTGTTTTAAATCAGCATATGGGTTTATGCATCACTCAAGTTAAGAAGCTAAGGTGAAGGAGTAACTGACAGGTAAATGCAGATTTAACAAGGCAGAGTTCTGCAAATTTGGTCCATTTTGTTTTGCTACCTCTTTAGTAAGCAGTGTTTCAAATCAGTATGAGAGTCCATGTATCAAGCAAAAAGAAAAGGCTAAGGAATAATAATAACAATAATAATAATAAACTTTATTTATTTCCCACCACCATCTCTCAGAGGAACTCAGGGCGGCTCACAAAACACTCAAGGTGTGACATGCAAAATACAAGTGCAAACAAAACATACGAGTAGACAAGAAACAATCAACACATCATAAATTCACAGTACCCCCTGGTAAAAACGATAACATACAGAATTGCTGTAGATAAAACAGCAGTTTTTGTAATCAAATCTGTAGATTTAACAAGGCATTGTTCTGTAAAAAGACATGGTGTTTTCCAAAGTTGATTTGGTCTATTTTCTCGTCAATAAATAGTGTTTTAAATCAGTAGGTGAGCTTGTACATCCCACAAGAAGTTGAGGCTGAAGAGCGTTCTGCAAAAGGACTATTTTGCCCAAGAGCTGTGTAAAAGTAAAGCTGCTATACTCAAATTGGCTTGTTTAGAAATAGAAAACGTCCCAGCTTTTAGAAATGAAAGTATAAAGTGAAATTACTATACTTTAGTTGGCTTGTTAGGAAATAGAAAGCACCCCAGCTTTTAAGAAAGGCAAGTGTGTTCATGTTGAGTCTGCTGTTCCCCCAGCCGCAGCAGTTCTGGGGCAGGACAAGGAGAAGGTGTTTACTTCTAAACAAGCTTATAAGCTACAGGGTTTACAATTCACTCTTTTACTCACTGTAATTTAGTTTAAAGATTTTGAGGAAAAACTGGCAAATAGGCACTACACATGGATTTTCCAGTCAACATTCAGCTAAAAGGCAAGTCAGGAACCCAGAAGGCTACTTTGAACACGTCCACTGACTATGTTTCATTGAGATTTCAAAATATTTAAAAAAATTAAATCTAATTGATATCAGTGGGTAAATGCATTATTTGATTAGCCTCATCACAAAAACAACAAGAGAAAAAAAAACTCTAGAAGAATGACCGGAGATTTTATCTGATAAAAAATACTTGTTGGCTTGTGTTACATGAATATGATATGAAATGTGCAGACTTTACAGAAGTCAGCTGTAATGTACCATTCATTATATTTTAAAAAGTTGATGTGATGGAAAAAAATAAAGACATATTTAAATGAGCATAAAATTGATTTAAGCTGTGATACTCTCATTTCTGATGATTGCAGAAAGTTTAATTTTGTTGGCTTGTGTAATTTTTATTGAGTATTCCTTCTTTTTCAAAAGTGGCATACACTATGAGGCTAATCTTTCAAGAAGCCACGGATTTTTGATTTAAGGAATAAATAAATAAATCTCCCTTTATGTCCTGCCTTGCAGTTTAGGATCATCCGGGGAGACCCTGCTCTCACTCCCGCCTGAGTTGCAAATACGCCTGGCGGGGACGAGAGACAGGGCCTTCTCGGCTGCAGCCTCCCATCTGTGGAACTCACTTCCCAAAGAGGTAAGATCACCCCTCCCGTCTTTTAGGAAGAAATTGAAGTCGTGGTTCTGGGACAGGCTTTTGGACAGCAGGTATAAATAGTGCTTTGGATATGGAATTTGACTGGAATGGTGATACGGCGGTTAATACTGTTTTTATTGTTTTAATTAATGTTCTATTTATTGTTTTAATTGTTGTTATATTGCTTTGCTATATTTAATGGCATCAAACTGCCAAATGTAAGCCGCCCTGAGTCCCCCTTCAGGGGTTGAGAAGGACGGGGTAGAAATACTGGAAATAAATAAATAAATACCTGAATTTGATATTGAAGCCTAAAATATATCAGAGGAAACCCCATTTGAAGTTCTAAACATCTACAGGTGAAATGTCTGAACCTCTTACTTCAACTGTAAGGTTGTTTAGAAATAGTAAGTGTCCCAGCTTTAAGAAATGAAGATATAAAGTGAAATTACTATCCTCCAGTCAGCTTGTTTACAAGTAACAAGTGTTCCAGCTTTTAGAAAGGAAGGCATTAAGTGAAATTACCGTCCTCGAGTTGGCTTGCTTGCAAATAAGAAGTGTGCCAGCTTTTAGAAAGGAAGGCCTAAAGGGAAATTCCTATCCTTGAGTCGGCTTGTTTAGATATAACAGTGTCCCAGCATTTAGAAAAGAAGGTACTGTATAAAGTGAAATTCCTGTCCTGGAGTCAGGTTGTTTAGAAATTGCAAGTGTCCCAGCTTCTGTGCACGTCCAGTCTACTCCAGCTGCAGCGGGGCAGGGGAAGGCCTTCCCTGGTGGGGCTCCCCGCACCTTCACTTCAGGGGAGGACGCGCCTGTGCAGCTCCTCCACCTCGGCCTCCCACATGGCCTCGTTCAGGGGGTTCCCGGAGAGGTCTGTCAGCTTGAGGGCGCGGAGGGTGGGCTCCCCGGGCCCGCAGGAGCGCACCAGGCCCAGCACCATCACGTACTTCCCGGCGTGAAGGCAGGGTTTGCCCTGTGGGACGCCCCCCGTGCCCTCGGCCACGAAGCAGCCGCTCCCGTCGCGCAGCCGCACCGCGCCTCCGCCGGGCCCCGCTTCCACGCTCAGCACCGTGCCTTGCATCCACACCACCGGCACCGCCAGCGCCCTGCGGCCGAACTTCGCCCGGTCCAGCAGCCATCCGCTCTCAGGATCCCGGCGGCGGCAGCAGCGCCTCAGCTGCGAGGCCAAGACCTTCACCGGAGGCGGAGAAGAGGAGGACGAGGAGGACGAGGAGGAGGGCCTGGGAGAGGCCTGCGCCATGACCACGATGACAACAATGACGCCTCCCGCCACTTTTCGACTGCCGCCAGGGATGACGGGTAGGAGGACTGCCTCCCTCTCCAGATATCGCGAGAATTAGAAGAAGGCAG